TGAAAACTGTATTTCATTTAGTCAGACCATAAGAGAAGGCACTGGAAAGGGTTTCACAGAGGCTGTGTTCTATAGAGAGCCCAGCACAAGCTACAGATGATTATCAAGTTCAACAGAGTAGCCGGTTGCCAGTGTGGGTTCCGTAACAATCGCAGAATTCAATAGTTTTGGGGCCAAATATCACCTGGAGAATTCCCTCACACTTCCAGTCTCTACCTGCCTTTGAAGAAGATTGTAAATGTGAGCTGCCTTGGAGATTTCCTTGGATTTCTCAGGTTTGGGTACAGGGGTTTCTGTGGGTCCCACTGGAACCTGGGAGTCCTCTGTAAGTTCTTTTGTTAGTAGTATTTGGTCTTCCCCCAAAAGGGACTTCATTTACATTGCAGGTCAACCCTCTCCTTGCTCAGCAGAAAATTATAAACACCAAAGGATATACAGCCTCGCAATGGAACAGCTGCTAACACACACACCTCGGTGTTGAGAACCACAAATGACCAAAAATGTCTGAGAAAGGCTTCGCACAGGACCTCAGACTCCTGTTTCTGCAGACACTTCCCGACTGAAAGCCATACAGTTTCCATTTGCAGCTGGTGACTGTTTACCTAAGACCTTGGTCATGAATATTTGGTTTAAATATGCATCAGTGAACTCGGCTACCATTACATGCTCGCCAAGAGCAGTAATGTGTCTGCCTGGCTCTCCACAGTCCAAATTCACAGCATACATTCTCTCTGTCTGGCAGGCAGCCTTAAGGAATTCAGACATCTAGTTAGCTTTTCCCCATTTCCTCCCAAACCACAGATAAGCTATAGTTTTTAAGACCTAGATATCTGTAAATTTTTTCCTCTGGAATTCTTACTGTGGCCTTCATGTTTTCTTGTTCCTTTTGAACCCATTGCTCAAGAACAGACCCACCCCCTTCTGCCTCATTTCTTTTTTTTAAATAAATTTTTATTTAAATTAAAACCAATCTTATTTTATATACCAACCCCACCTCCTCTCCCTCCTGTCCTCCCATGACCCCCACCAATGTCATATCCCACCCCCATCCACTCCCCAAGGAGGGTGAGACCTCCCATGGGGATCATCAAAGTATTTCACATTTGGAACAGGACCTAGGCCCTCTCCCATGTATCTAGGCTGAGAGAGTATCCCCTCTATAGGAAATGGGCTCCCAAAGCCCATTCATGCACTAGGGATAAATACTGGTTCCACTGCCAGAGGCCCCATAGACTGCCCAGTGCTCCTAACTGACATCCATGTTCAGGGGCCCTGGTTCGGTCCTGTGCTGGTTCCCCAGCTGCCAGACTGGGGTCCGTGAGTCCCCGCTAGCTCAGGTCAGCTGTTTCTGTGGGTTTCCCCAGCCTGGTCTTGGTCTCTCATTTCTTATCTTCTGATTTTCCTTGACTCCATCGTTCTCCCTTTACCATCCCTCGCCCATCAGCGTCCCTCATTTTCCTCTGCGTCTCACATTCTTCGTTTATGTCCTCCTCTTCCATGCACAAATCTTTCCCCTCTCTTGGCTCCTGTGCTTTGTTTTGCACTTGAAATTCCCTCAAGAATTTGTAACTACACCGTTTTATTTCGCCAAAGCCGGTTATTCAAGGTAGACACTCCATTTCCTTACTGTGTGGTGACAAAGAAGTCACGACACAAATGAACCTAACGCTGGCTGGGATGACAGACAGAAAGCCAGTCGGTATCTCAGTGCCGGTGAGACTAGGAAGCAGGTGGTGTGGGTAATAATACCTGGCAACACTGTGCTCACCGATAACTCAGCCCGTTCGTGCCTGAAGAAAATCAATTTATCTTCTCCTGAATGCCAAACGAAGGCTCCGTCAGGTAGTGATCTACTCTTTGGCGAACAAATGCTAAAATATTGCGGGGGCTCAGCGAGACCACCATGGGGTTCACCTGAAGATCTGTGTGCACCTGAGTTAGCAAAGGCTATTCATACCAGAGTCACTCCTGTCTATCATCGGCTGAAGTGCTCCAACTATTCTCTAGATGCACAAACATTCTGCTAACATAAAATTGGGGTAACACGGGCCCATAGGCTAGAAGCAAACTGCTCCTCTGGGTTGGTAAGCCTTCAATAGATTCTCTGCATTTTCAGACTCATACCTGCTGTTAATAGCTTTTGATTACAAAACACAGCAGTTGGGCAGTGGGGGTACCAATAATTGCATTGGAAATTAGCTTTTGCCATGCATTGTATAGCCCAGGCTGTGAGCTCTGCAAGCAGAAGGTGGCATCGGAGTAACTTTCCAGCAGGATGCTACCTGAAACAGCTCTTGCCTCTCCTCCCATGCTGCCTTTCCCCTCTCTTTGACTTAGCATAGTTCAGTTGTGAAGCAGGCTAGAACAGAAGACAGGTGGAGGGCTGCACATAGAAACTGTCCAGGAAGAACTCTGGCTTTGGTCTTGTGCTCTCTTGTACTTCAGAACAGAAACACTATACTCGCTGAACCACAAACAACACAGGGAAACATAATGAGGTTTACGAAGCTGAGAGGGAGGAACTGAGGCAGGCCAGAGCCAAGGAAACAAAAACGAGGACATTGTTTTTAAGGGGACTGCAAAAATGTTCAACTAGAGGGGAGAAAATGCCTACCTAGAATTCGCTGGGGATGAAAGGATGCGTCATTTCAATGCTGACAACTGGCAGTGACATCACTGTGGCAGACACAGAAAAATAAATAGATTTAGGATGAGGGATGACTAAACATTTGATAGTTTCACTTCATGCAGAGAAATACACTGGATCTACCGGAATAAAATTACTAGCTACCAGACAAAATAGTGACACAGAGAAAAGTATTGCCTTATTTAATCCCACACATGCCGGTGCTGTGGAAGTCACTGCATCTTTTAGAGATGAGCAAAATGCTCAAGGAGATAAACATCCCAACTTCAAGTAGTGGCTCAACACAGGCCGAACTTGGAGGCCAACTCTAGTCCCTCCCCCACAAACTGCGGTGTCTTGTGGGACAAAGCCCTAGCATGCTCTAGAATGGAAACTAGCACTTACGGATCACCAACATGTGACATCCACTTTGGAAACATCCTCTCACTTTGATCACAGACAATAATCCCAATTTCACTAACAGGTAGAAGGGTTGACTGACACTAGTGTCAGGCCTCTTCAAAGGACAATTCAAGTCACCACCAATGCCCACTGCGGCGCCTGTGTAGGTAGGGATACGGACCTTGAGCAGTTCTCATCATCCCTGAACAGGGAGCTATCGTTTGGAAGCTCTAGGGGAAGAAACCAAGTAGAAACCCCAATGAGACTCCTTGTCTACACGCCTATTGCTTTCATGGTGGGTGCTTTGGTGTCCTTTCTGGGGCCAAATGGCACAACATTAAATGTCCCCAACAGATGGAATGAAACTGCTCTTTAGGACAGATCTGAATTTTAGTAAATTAAAAATCCACAGTGTAAGGTCATAGCTTTCCGTATCTTTCTACCAGTCTAGATCAGAGGCCACTACGTACGTTCCTTTTCTTGATTTGGGGCTCCAGGGGAAGACTAGAGACAAAATGTACTGTGCACCAGGTTGAGAAACAGGCGTGATCATCTCCAGTTGGTGTAGACAGATCAGGTGACGTGTTCAAGGCCACTCTCTGTTAGGAATGGACCACAGGGGTTGGCTACATATAGAACCCGCCACCCCATAGCTTCCATCTCATATGCAAAACTGACCTTTACACTCTCCAGTAATTTGTGGATCTAAGCCACTATACTAGAACCCTATATTAAAATTATAATTGCAAAGTCATATCAGCAAATATCACACCCATGTTCCCATCGTTTGCCTTACATCCTACAGTCACGTCTCAGCAGACTGATTTTATTTCTCCTATCATTACAGACCTGTTTCTGTCACTTCCATCTGAAGGAATTTCACCCTCCCCATAAGAACCTCCCTCTCTCGCACCATGCACCCATCAAAACTCTGGCTTCCTTGCCTGCTCTCTCCAATTCTTCATTTCCGACCCACTTTCTGCCTCCCGATTTCTTGCTGTTCCCGCAAAATAGCACTCACTGAGCTCTCCTTGCCAGCCACTGAAATTAATGGGCAAAAAGTGTCTCCCTGAGAACCCTTCTTAGACCGGACATCACTTTTGAAGGACTTGTCTCTGACCGAGCCTGGCAATGAACTCCTTCCTCCAAATGCTCCCACTTCCTGGCTTCTCTCTCTCTTTTTTTTTTTTTAGTCTTCTCTGTGGACCTTTCATATCCTCAACCTCTCCCCTCCTGCTGAGCTATCTGGTACATCACTGGGGCAGCATTTTATCAACTTACTGACGCTATCTATGTCTGGACCTAGTCTGAGACCCAGGACATAAGAAGCTGGCTTACCCCTACCCTAGATCTGCAGGTTCTTCCATCTTCTATGGAAACACCTGGATTACATCAGAAGCAAGAGGCTGGTAATTTGATAATTGAAAACTACCCGTTTCTCCCTTGACATCACTAGTTCATCTGTCTCCTCTGCCTGTACTCCTACCTAATCGCCTTGGTTATTGACATTTCTTGCTGGGTTTTCCCACCTAGACCGGCTCAGCTCCACATTCAGTGTTACCTTTCTAGACACAGAGGGTTCCTCTGGTTACTCCATTTAGGCTTTTGCAGAGTTTGATTTTTAGGAGTCTCTAACTCAGAACTTTCACCACAGGGCTGCTAAGAGTAGTACAGATACTTTTCAAACTACGATGAGATTATGTCTCCAGAAAGCTGACTTAAGTTGGAAATGTCACATGTGGGAAGTGCAAGGAAGACATCTAACTTTTATCGAGCATCATGGCTTGATGGTACGGTGCCCTGTAGAGCAAGAGGGGTCTGACTTGTTGATGGTATGTCTGGCTGAAGCTGTGGCTCATGGATTCTGCCCAGAACAGAAGGGAAGGGAGAGAGAGAGAGAGAGAGAGAGAGAGAGAGAGAGAGAGAGAGAGAGAGAGAGAGAGAGAGAGAGAGAGAGAGAGATTGAAAGAGAAGATTGCTTTCCGGTTGCCTTCCTGGAAAACATCTGCTGCATTCAACCAGAGTATATGAGGGGACAATTAAGAATCATGTGTGTTATAAGCATGTGAGGAACTAGGAGAAAAAGGAAAATCTGTACCATGGCCCTCTATTCTCTTCTTGTGCAAGACGCTTGCCGAACTCAAGCCAGCTGTTTCTCTGTCTACGCTGGAACACGCACAGCCAGCATTGCCGACATGAGGCAGTGCCCTGTTATTCATCCAGAGGCTTCCGCACTCCCACAGGCTCCTGCATATGTTCCTGAATGGCCTCTACCCATTTTCTGACTGGTGAGTGATGAGACGTGTCCTGGAGACATGCGTTATTCCAGGATGACGTAGAAGGCAGAGACACTGGGTTAAAAGCAAAGTGGCTCATTTTGAGCAAGGGACATCAAAAGAGAGCCTGGGAGGCAGCTGTCTGTCTGGGATGAGGCCATGGGCATCTGTGGGACACTTGCAAGCTTAGGGAGCTCTCCTGCACTAGGATGACTGTCGAAGCCGTGGGAGACGGGCTGTGGCCATCTTCCCACCGGGGGAAGCTTAATGATCCGACATTTATATGGGAGAACAGCTACCGCACAGTTAACTGCTGAGAAAGTTTCTTGGTTTCTCTTGTAGGAGAGAAAATGTGAGAGCAGTCTGAGTAAGAATCTCCTCAGGGTATGGGGAAAGACATGGAGGGGATAAAGTACCCTCGGAGAATGAAGATGAGACCAGTATGAGTGTATAGGCTGGCTCCAGTCATGGACTATTGGACGTTGAGACAGGACAAGCATGCCCTACAGTATTCCACAGGTAAGATCAATGGCTCATTTGCCCAGCTTCAAAGGACTGCAAACAGCAATTTCTTATGTCGGAAAAGAAATCCAATAATTTGTATCACTTGCTGCTATGCATCTGATTAAAAAGCCTTCCTGAAGACTGTAATAAATGGCCGCAGGAGGCCCGCACTCATGCCGCAGTATTATAACACACTGCCCGTGAATCGGATCAGATCGATTTCCTTGGAACGCTCAGCCATCTCCAGAGTTCCTCAGCCCTTTCCTAGGCTCGGTTTTATTGAGTTTGGATTTACAGGGAATCAGCTGTGTGGCAGTCTGCGGGTGCGTATAGTGATGGAGAACAACTGCATCCCCTCCGAAGCTCAAACGGAGGGGTGGGGGATGGGAATGAGTACGGGGATATTACCATCAGCGTGAAAGGAAGCCCAGAGAGGGCGCCAAACACTAGAGGTGGACGTGGAGCCAGTGGGACCCTCACGGGTTGCTGGTGGGGAGGAGGGGAAGCAATGGGGGAAAGTCACTTTGTAAAACGGCTTGTCAGTTTTTATAAAGTCCCTGCTTATAGGGAGAGATGTTAGGTACCTGTACTGCTGACCACACCTGTTTGGGCATGGTTACAGGTATGCAGAAGGTACAGGAGATAGGAGCTGAAGGGAAAGAGACACGCTCTCTCTTGGGGTTCCGGTTGGTTCTCGGAGAGCAGCAGAGCGCTGACCTTAGGTTTTCAGCTTCTCATGTAAGTGACTACTCCCTAATAAAATATCATATGACATCCCAACCCTGTGTAGCTTAATATTACTCAATACTTCGTCATAGATATTTCCCAAGAAGAAAATAAAGCACACGACCATAAACAAACTACTTGTATCAGTATACGCACAGCTTTGTGAGTAGACTCCAGAAACTGAAGAAGAGGTTAAATATATACCCAATGGCAAAACGGATGCACAAACTTTTAGTTTGTGGATATTACACACCAGTGTTCGACAGTCAAAAAGAAATAAAATCCCAATACATCTAATACCACAAGTGAATACTGAAGGGCAGCCATGCCGAAGAAATGCAACCCCGCACCATGCGTGGTGATCTGCTGGACACCAAGTAAGTCCAAATTCAGGCAAAGGAAGTCCCTTGGCAACACCATTCAGAACAGCGTGGTCTTTGGGAGAAGTTGGAATTAACTGGAATGGAGTGAGGATGATGGCTGCGGTGTTAGAAATGGATGTTGTTTGCACGGCGTACATGACTTTCAGATGTTATCAAACCTAGTGCTTTACTGTGTACCAAGTTTATCTTAATAAAATAAAATAAAATAGGCCGGGTGTTAGTGGCTCACGCCTTTAATCCCGGGAGGCAGAGGCAGGCGGATCTCTGTGAGTTCGAGGCCAGCCTGGTCTACAAGAGTGAGCTCCAGGACAGCCTCCAAAACAATACAGAGAAACTCTGTCTTGTAAAATCAAAAAATAAAATAAAATAGAACAAAAGGGAGAGTTACAGAAAAGGACAGTGCAACAACATGGCCTCACAGAAGTATGTCTTCGACTGGACTGCATGGAGAAGAAACTTCAAAGAATACCCCTTCTTGGGGAGAGTAATCCAGAAGGATGAGGAAGGGAGAGGGAAGTGAGAGGCATGGAAAGCATATTGTGTGTGTGGGGTAAGACCACAAAGGCAGGGTGTACATGTCATAACAGAAGGTGGTCTGTCATAGATGCCCAAAGCACTGATTACATATTTCACAGGATTGACCAAGAAAGACAAGGGAAGTTAAATGATGATTTAACGGGATTGAAAAGGACCTCTACACTGACCTTTTTCTATGAAAGAACTTTGTTACACCCACTGTAGATAGAAGCCTTTTCCTTGCCAGCCGCTTTGGTTTTTCCCCACCAGTCTCCTGGGCTCTGCTGCGTTGTAGTCCCCAAATAACACACAAGACGCTGTATTAATTATGAAGCTGTTGGCCTGGTTTGTTTCTTACTGGCTAGCTCTGACTTAAGTATTTAACCCATCTAAGTATTTCTCTTACCGGACGGACATCTTACGTCTCTGGCGGGCTACATGATGATGTGTTTCTCCTACCCAGAGTCCTCCTGGACTCCTAGTCCCACCTATTTTGCTTCCCTATTGGCCAACAGTGCTTTATTGACATATACACAGTACTTCCTCATCACACCCACTGTATGGAGTGAAACATCGATTTAAGGTGAAAAGATAGATTACGTGCTCAGACTGTTTTTAGGGAATATGCTGTGCTTCCCCTTGGAGGGATGGCATTTTATAATGATCACTAAAGCAGGAGGGCCATAATCATACTTATATGTAGCACAGGAAAAGCAAGGTCTAGAGAATTAAAGAGGAAAAGGCAATGGGAAAGAAAAGAGGAGACAGATAGGTTCGCCTTGATCGGAACATTGCACAACTGTTTTACATAAACCAAAACATCACAGAGTGGGCAATTAATGTGTAACATCTGGGTGTATCAAGATTTTAAAGATCTTTTTAGGATATAAAATAAAAAACATTTGTTTGTAACACGGACTGAGTCACAGAGGAAGCGGTAGGAAGAGAGGAGGCCTTTCATGGAGCTAGCTTCTGTAGACCTTGTGTTTCTACTGGAAGAAGGAGGGGAATCCTGCCTTCCCTTTGACAGGGAAGAAGATGGAGCATTGAGCAATGCTGGAGAAGGTAACCGTGACAACTGTAAGGGACATTCTGCTGTCTGGAAGCAATGACAGAGAGAAAGGCTGGGGTCTGAGGAGCACAAAGAGGATCATAGTGAGTTTGGAGGGCTTTTTGCCTGAGATACACGTGAAATGAGATTTTTACGGCACAGACCAAAGGGGAGACATCACCAAGACTTGGAATGGAAAGGCACGAAGGGTGAAAGCTTCTGAGAGCACAGTGAAATGCATCGTGGTCAGGACACGGATAAAACGCAGTGGGGGGACAAGTGAGTTAAGGTCAGGGCCCTCGAAGACAGGAGGAGAAGCGGGCTGGCGGCCTGATAGAGAAAATGTGGTACATTTACACAATGGAGTACTATTCAGCAGAAAAAAACAATGGAATCCTGAGATTTGCAGGCAAATGGATGACACTAGAAGAAACCATCCTGAGCGAGGTAACCCAGTCACAAAAAGAGAAACATGGCATGTGCTCTCTCATATATGGATTTTAGACATAGATCTGGGGAGTGCCAGCCTACAATCCCATGGCCAGAGAATCTGGGAAACAGAACCTTCATTCAGCGGAAGAAGAGGCAGACTCCCACAGCTAAACACTGAGCTGAACTCAAGAAAGCCAGTAACAGAGAGGGAGGACTGATACCAAAGGGATTAAGACTGGGCTGGTTTAACCCCCAGAAACAGCTGACCTGACAAGGGTTAGCTCTTGAATCACAGACTGATGCCTGGGAATCCAGCATGGGATTGATCAAGACCCCCTGAATGTGGGTGTCAGTGAGGAAGCCTAGGCAATCTGTGGGGCCTTGGGTAGTAGATCAGTATTTATCCTTGGCATACAAATGGACTTTGGACTCCCATCCAACAATGAGAGGTGCACTCTCACCCTGGACTCTTGTGGGAGGGTCTAGGCCCTGCCCTGGATGAAATGACAGACTGTGGACACCCCCATGGAAGGCCTCCCCTCCATGGGGAAATGAAGGGAATATATTGGAAGGGTTGGTGGGAGGGCATGGGAGGAGGGGAGGGAAAGGGGAGGGACCTGGTATTGAGGGCCTTGTTGGAGGAAGTAGTCCACTTGGGGGGGGCAATGGCCCCCTCCTTTATTCACCTGTCCACCCAGATTCCATAGAGCGAATAACTTTGCCCTGCTACACATTCACTGCTATGGTGGTCTAGCTTATTGTGTGCCACAAAAAAATGGAGCCAGGTGGTCACTGGATGAAACCTTTGAAACTACGAGGCCAAGACAAGCCTTTTAAATTGTTTCTCGGGTGTTTGTTACAGCGATCAAAAGAGAAAAAAGTTAACACAAACTTCTCTTTTAGACATATTTGTAAATCATGCGTATACGTGTGTATTGCCTGCGTGAGTGCAGTATTATTGGTGGAGGCCAGAAGAAGCCAATAGATCTCTTGGAGCCAGAATACAGGTGGCTGTGGCCCACCCCCACGTGGTTGTTGGGAACCAAGGTCAGGTCCTCTGCAAGAGCAGCTGATGCTCTTAGCTGCTAAAATCTATTCTCAGGCCCCACAACACCCTTTTTATCCCGTTGAATTGAGTGCTGCTTGGGGCAGGAAGCAAACCTGCGGCCCAGGTGACCCGAGTAACACCAAAATAGTTTGTATTCATGCTTTACAAATGGGCACGCTCCAGTGTCTCCTCACCATCTGTCCCCAACTCCATCCTTCTATTCAGGATAGGACTTGGCAGCCTGTGAGGATACACAGGTAATGACTGAAATCACACTTCGGAAAGCGTGCCAATAAGAGCACAATAATCACAGATGTCAGCATCTGGAAAGAAAGCCCATGTTTTATTTTAAAAACAGCCTTGTGAGAAGAAAGTGGCTACTTGATTCTCATTCATCTCTCCAGTTATTTCACAGATTAAAAAAAAAAAAAGAATTCCTTCAAGCCTTCCAAAATTGCAGTTCTTAATCTGGGGACTCCCGAGCTCTTACGTTTATAATGCCAGTGGGAGGCGTTGGATGGCCTCAGAAAGTAGGGGATTCCTTTCTCCCACTCCATGGCTGTGTATCCTTGACCAGTGTTGACCCTCTGTGCTTCAGCTTCCTCACGGAGAAACCCTTCCAGTGGAAGTAAAACCCTCCAACCAGGAGTAAAAGTTTAATATGCTTACTAACAGTGAACCGTGAGTGATACATGGGAGAAATTCACTTGACAACAAGAGTCAACTTGGACTTGAAACAGCAACATTGATGTTGCTTCTGCTGTCTCAGTTCGTGGTCACATGGGCCCATCTGGAGTCGCTGACAATTTTTCCAACTTGTCAAGAAACCCTATCGGCTCAGCATTCGAAGTAAACCACA